AAATTTCCAAAAAAAAAAATTCATAAAAAGAAAGAATAAAAGAAAAGTTGAAAAACAAAGGTAGAAAATGCTATCAGAACCCTAATTGGAAGTGAAGGCAATGAAATAATCTGCTGTTGATCTTCAGAAAATGCCTCACAAGCTATTCAGTGCTGATCGGAATTGGAATCGACGTCCTATGGCCATAATCAAATGCATATCTTTTTCCTTTGATTTTTCTTCAAAAGGTCAATTATCTATGTAATTAAAAGACTGCTTTAACAATAAAGAGACTGAAGAAGACAAGGAAGAAGAAAACAAACAAAGGTAGAGTTTTAGTGAGGCGAGGAAGTCTGTTAATTTTGTATTTTTTATTTGTTGAGAATTTTAGTTATATCATCTTAAAGGAGATATCTCATTATTTCTTGTTATGTCTTTAACTCAAGGAAAACTTTGACCCGAATACAATAGAGATTTAGAAATAATGATAAATTCATTAAATTGTTAAGAGTAAGGTTCAAGAACTAAAACAGTAATAATAAATATAAAATAGACACTTTATCATATTCTATCTTATTAAGGTTTTTTAATTAAACGAGATTTATTATACTAGTAGGCTGAGTCTCAAAAGATTAAATCAGCATTTGTTTATTCTTTTTAATATTTGAGTAATCATGACATGTTATTATATGTCAATCTTGACCTATAAGTAGAGACTAATCAATTAAAAAATTGACGATGAATGTAAATTATTTGAATTATCTAATCTTCATTGGACTAAAATTATAGTTCATATCTATTACCAACATATTAAGAAGTCACACAAATTAAAAGATTTCATGTAAAAATATAAAATTGATGATTAAGTTGGACTTAATTGAGAAGAAGTATAAACTTCAAACCTAATTGAATTAGCTCAATTTTGTCAAAGGCTATTCCATAAATAACATAAAAGTTATCCAACTCCTAATAAGGTTAGGAATAAAGCAACTACCTATGAATAAGGGGCTTATAACTGAACCTAGAAGAACTACTCGTGCACTACTTGAAAGTTAGAAACCTTGAGAGAGTCCTACAAAGAGTTACCTAACCCAGAGAATTGATTTTTTTCTGAAAATCGATGATTGGTCTTTCTCTGACTGATTTTGATTATTCACTTGAGAAGTGAGTTGTTAGTGAGCGCCAACCCTAACTAGCACTAGGCTTAGTAATATAAACAAACCCCAAATCATCATTGATGTTTATCTTACTTGGAATTCATGTGAATCACCATTAGAGATAAGACAATTAATCAGCTTGAAGGTTGTAACAACCTAAACTGTGTCGGAAGAAGATTTTGAAACCTTACTATCTTAAAGCTCTTGATTTCAATATCAAAAGCTCAAAAATGCAAACATCTCAAGTTCTAAATTTCCACTAAGCATGTATAATGAATATTGTTTTGCATAACTCCTCTCAGCAGATCATAAGTTATTCTTACAAACTTTGGGTGATCAATTCTTTCCAAACTATATCAAAGCCGTAATACAAACCCTAATCACCATAAGTGCATGTTGATGTGTCTATATTTCAAAAAAACAAAAATCATGTATATTATTCTTCCTCTGTCTTTCCCCAGCTCCATTTTAACCAGTTCTAATGCACCAAAGGAGTTTGCATGAAGAGGAACTGCACACAAAGTGATTATCATTGTCATCACTCAAGAAAATAACAAACTTAAAATTATACTTATAATTTATTTAAGTTTGAATTCTAAGTTACATACCTCAAATGATTTTCCTGCTCTCTCAAATTCAAGCATGCTAAGAGCAACTTCACAACTCTCTGAGACAATAGGCTCAGGATCTCTAGCAAATTCCTCAAGCAGCGCTACACTTTCATCATCTACAACATGGGCACAATGTGGAGTTCAAT